TACCCCTTGTGGAGAAGAGCCAGGGAAAGCGAGAATCTAAGGGCAAGAATGTGTCCCCTAAGGGCAGAGAGATCACTGAGCAGAGCCTAGATTTCCTAGTTTCAGTATCCTGGACTATCTTTCACTGGTCTTAGAGAAGCTCCTCTAGCACATCAAAACTGGATTAATTGCAAGTCCAGATCTCTACCTGTCCCCCTTTTCTAAAAATCAAAAGGGTAAAATGATACCCCAGGATATTGCTGTATCAGCACTCTGACCCCCAACATCTGTACGATTTAGAACAAACAAGCCAAGCCTTTTCACTTTCTGCATGGAATAACCTCCCCCATATGTCCATCAGGATAACTCTTACTTCTTCAGATCTTTGCTCAATTATTTCCTTAACAAGGCCTATACCCTGTTTAAAATTGCAATTTGCCATTGACCCCCACTCTTCTAATGCCCCTTACCCTCCTTTTTTTTCATAACATATATTGCCTTCTGACATATATTTACTTATTTATTGTGTTTATTGCTTATTATCATTATTTCTCTACAGGAATGTAAACTTGAAGGCAGGAATCTTTGTTTTGCTAATTGACGTATCTGAAATGTCTAGAACAGTGCTTGAGAATGAATTAATGAACAATAATAATGAGTGAACAGATGAATGAATAAATCTTAGTACCAAATGATAACTGTTGAAGTAGTCCCCCAACTAAGTCCCACTTCCCTTATATATAACAACCTGCATTTTTTCCTGTCAACATTCTAAATTATCTTCACATTTTTGTCTAATTTAATAGGTGAAAAATGGGATCTCATTGTTTTAATGTGTATTTCTTTAAGTAATATTATGGTTGATTTTTTAAATATCTATTTGCTTACTGTTAATATCCATCTTTTAGGAACTGTTTGAGTCAATGCCCGTTTATTTATTAGAAAGCTTTTATTTTATCTATTAGTTTATTCTGTAATAATATTACCTACTGTTTACTGAGTGCTTTCTGTGTTCCTAACTACTGTACTATGCTATGTATCATTCCATCTACAGCTAAAATTCTGTATAGCTATACGTAAATAATAAGGACTTAACCTAGCATATGTAACATATATAGGTAACAATCATAATCAACATTTCTTGAGGATTTACTGTATGTATTGTAACGATTTTGCAGAGTAGTTGTTATTACTGCCTTTATTGGATTGATGAGGGAATTAAGGGTCAGAGAGGTTAAGTGACTTTTCCAAGATCATACAGCTGGTAACTATGTTTGAATCCATCATCAGTGCTCTTATTCACTAGTAGTAAAAGCTATGTTATGTGTTCTCTTTGGTATATTTCTTCTATTATGTGTTTAAATATACAGACCTAGAACTGGGTGGGCTTTTAGTAGATGTTTTAATGATGGAACCTAAAAATTATCCTTAAGCCTATTAAGCCTAGTACGATACATTGCTGATTTACTAGCAAAGAATTTTTTAGGCACTTTAATCTTAACAACAGTATGTCTGCAATCACCACTTCACTTTTCAAATTGAATCCTATTAGGGGTCTTGATTTTTAACTAGTTGTTATTAGCCATTAGGTGATGTTAATTAGTATAATATTTATTTTACTAGGGGGATGAATGGGAATTGTTGCTGCTTAAAAACAAGAACATAGTTTTTTCTCTTGAATTTAGGGCATTTTTAAGATTATGTTTTCGTAGCATTCAGATTACATTTGCAGAAGTTATTCCTCATTAGCTTGGTCATCTTTACTAAGTGTACCATTTCAGTTTTACGTGTGATAGATGCAGTATTCTTATCCTGTTTGAGAAATTTGTAGATAGGATGTTTTTATGTGTTTTAATTACTGAAATAAAAGAATAAAGTTTTCTTTAGGGTCTTCATTATATTCTCTTTGAATATTAACATTTCTTATTAAACCATTTGTGATTCTGAAGATATCAGAATACCGAAGGAGAACAAATTTTTATTAAAAAATGTTATTTTTTCATGTCTCTTTTTAGGGATACTGGATAGATGTTTTACTAATATGCCCCCCCCCAAAAAAAGAATTCTGATGAGCAGAATATCATTCAAAATTCTCCTCTGTAAGCTATCAATATCATTTAAAAAATAGTTTTGACCGTTTTTATAAAACAGGAAAGCTATTAAAAACTGCTAATAAAAATAGATGCTTATTTCTGTGCTAATACTAATTACTAATAATGCATGCTTATGTTTGTCACTCATTACATGGCACTGTACCAATCAGTGGATGACTGAGACTCAAGCACTTACACATGTAAATTAACAGTTAGATTTTTTTTTTTCCTTTTTTTACTTAAGTGAGTCATAATGGAAAGCAACTCTAGGTCATAAAAAATCTTCTCTCTTTAATGCTAATGAAATGTCTCCACTCTCTGTATTAGCAGACTACCCTTAGTGGTAATCTGTAGCCTTCTCTTTTGTTCCTGGTGGTAATGAAATGCTGGGTGCTGAAAAAGCTCGCTCTTCAAGAATGTGTGGCCAATTGTCTTCTGTTCACTTATACTGTAAAATTTCTGTTCCCCAGCAAAGCTGAACAAGTGCAGGGACAAGATCAAAAGAGTATACATTGGCACCCGGCTACACCAAGTGACTCCTGCTTTATTAATTAGCCATAGCTTCTCCAAGTTAATTTACTCTGCTAGAGCAAAAACATTCTGTAATACAAAAACAACAAATTATAATTCACCCACAAGTCCTTATTGTTTGCTTTCTTCAACTTTCAGTTTAAACCTTTGTACAGTGTTATAAGCTAAACATCCCTTCACTTTTCTGAACCTTAGAGCAAAAAAGCTATTTTTATTTTTTTCAAGAACCTCAGCGATATAGTCAAATGATCATTTTTATTCTCTAAAATTGGGTGATTTTAATTGATATCATTCTTTTTAAAAGTCAGTGCATTGGGAATCCAATTTAAAAGTGCAGTTGCTTCTAAAATTTGCAAGCTTGTTCTGTCCTCTCATCAGAAATGCCACTGGTGTTTAAGCATTTGAAAAGGGCCTTCTCTGTGAGTGTTTTGGCGGAAGCAAAATTTGACAGTGATCCTAAGCTCCAAATTAAATAATATCAGTACCACTTTCCTTTTCATTTTAATCACCACTTTGTAAGTTCCTGAAGTCTTTTTAATTTAAGGAATCTTCAGTAGTTTTTTAGTTAGTATTTTAAAGTTATAGCCTGAAACAGCAAAAAAAAAAAGATCTGCACATTCCCATATCTTGGTTTGGTTTGGTTTTGTTCAGGTGGAAAGGAAATAATTAAACTTTTGCGTAAGATATCAGCTGAAAGAGAAAAGTGATTTAGACATCTGTCACCCAGGTTGTTATTGTTCATAGTGTTATAACCATTTAGTTGGCAACTTTTAGTATTATGATCTAATTTGAAAGAATTCCACTAGTTTCTATGTACTTTAACATGGTTTAAAAATAACAATGTGGGGCTTCCCTGGTGGCACAGTGGTTGAGAGTCCTCCTGCCGATGCAGGGGACACGGGTTCGTGCCCCAGTCCGGGAAGATCCCACATGCCGCGGAGTGGCTAGGCCCATGAGCCATGGCCGCTGAGCCTGCGCGTCCGGAGCCTGTGCTCCGCAACGGGAGAGGCCACAACAGTGAGAGACCCGCGTATCGCAAAAAAAAAAACAACCAAAAAACAAAAAAAACAATGTGATATTTATTGTGTGATATATTTTGTGAATATAAAATAAGTTTTATTGAGATTATCTAAAATGTGCTGTTAAAGGAAGATCAAAGCATTTTTACATTGGGAGTATATAAAACCCATGTTATTATATTCTTAGGGGAAGGTGCAATGATTAACATCAATCTTCACTATATATTTATTTTTTGAAGTCAACTTCCTACCCTCCCTAATTTCTGTATTTTGGAGGATTTTTTTTTTCAGGAGCTCTTTTTAAAATTTTTATTATTTTTTTTTTTCACATCTCTATTGGAGTATAAATGCTTTACAATGTTGTGTTAGTTTCTGCTGTACAACAAAGTGAATCAGCTATATGCATGCATATATCCCCATATCCCCTCCCTCTTGAGCCTCTCTCTATTTTTTGGGATTAAAAAAAAAAAAGTTACCATTAAGCTTACTTGCTAATTGTGGATTTTTAAAAATAATTTTAGAAAAGATCAGTGGTTATATGTATCTCTGTAACTTAGATGAAATAGTGTTATCTGCATTATGCATTTCTGGTTTTGTCAGAAGCTTTTTTTTTAAAGCACTGTGTTAACCATTCTTGTAAGGTTTTTTTTTTTTTTTGGTAGAAGGAATATTTGTGTTTGGGAAGGTTAGCAGAGGCTGGCTGTGCTGGAAGTGACTGCAGTGCCTTTTGATTATTCATGGACAGTAATAGAAGGCACTTAAAAAGAACAATGAAATTGCTTATTTTTGTGATGGGCCATCTGTTGAATTGTTTTGTGCAACAATTGCACAATAGTATCTATGTCATATCATTCTATTTTCAACAGCAGCTGATTATGTCTCACTGGCTACTTGTCCTTATTTCTAAAGTCTCATGACCATTTAAAGTCACCTTTTCAGGGACCTTTGCCAGAAAGGTATTAGAAATCTCAAATAGCCTGTGTTTTTTTTTTTTTTTCTTTTTTTCTCTCTCTTCTTTATTCGGGGAGGGAGGCTGTGATGGGAGTAGGAGGGGGGAGTTGATCATGTTAGTTCTAATTAGTTAGACTTCCTAGATGTTTAGGACAATTATCTGTGCTTTCCACCTGTAGTTCTATAAAATAAGTTAACATAGAATCAGTTGATAATTTGGATAGAAATGATAGGCTTGCAAAAAAGAAGAGTCAGGTTTAAAGACTGCAGGCTTTCATGCTTTTAATTATCTACTCTTTTCTACATGATAATTAGAATTTTTCTCTTGGAATTCACTTCTATTTTTTTTTAAAAAAGGATGAACCATTAGCAAATTTGTTAGAGCAGAAGCGAAATTAAAATAAAACAAATGTATTGCTGTCCATAGGTCACTGACATTGCTGATGCCATGATTCTGAAACAGCTTTTTGAAAATCTGTTCAAAAACGGGGTCGTCGTTGTGGCAACATCCAACAGGCCACCGGAAGGTAAAAACAAACACTGTGCTGTACTGTCTTATCCAATTAGGTAGAAATGAACAAGCTTTTAAAAATTCACAATTTTGGACTCATTTTATTGTGTTAATAAATCTGATTACTTTGCTTTATCCTAAGTTTTATAACTAACTTAATCTGAAAAATCAGTCGGTATTTGTATAATATTTGAAAAATCTTTCCTAAATCCACATGATCTCCCGTGTTTGAGGCACTTGCAGTTTTTCCCTGAGCATTAGATATGCCATGTGTGCGCATATCAAAAAAATACAGGCCTCTCTAACTGCATTTTATGGGCCATAAAAGAAACTCAATGAAATGAAAGAAAAAGTTCCTAATTAAATCTTGGAAAAATACTTAAAGCTTTCCTGCATAAGTGGTTTCTGATACTTCATTTATCATTTCTGAAAAAGCACTTGTGGCTTATTAGGACATTATTAAAAATTAAAATACAATAATATATAGATAAAAACAAGTTTAAATTTTGTGTCTTTCAGCCCATCATGTGGTCAGTTGAAGGTTGAAAGAACCAAAAATAATATTTTATGCATTCTTAATATTAACATCTGACTGGAATGCTATTCTGCCAGATACCTGCATGGCTAAGTTCTTACCTCTTTCGGGTCTTTGCTCAAAGGTTACTTTGCCAATGAAGCCTAGACTCATCTCCCATTTAAATCTACAACCCATGCTCTTTTTTCCTGGCACCACTTCTTTTTACCTGCTCTATTTTTTTCACATAGCACTTATGGAGCCACCATGTAGTTTACTTATTTACTATATATATAGTTTATTATCTATCCTCTGCCAGGATGCAAAAGCTTCAGGAGGGCAGCAACTTTTATCTCTTCTGTTCACAGATATGCATATTTTAAGTACCTAAAACAGTGCCTTGTACATGGATGGATCTCAGTAAATAGTCTTAGAATGAATGTTGAATAAATGTGTGTTCTCAGGATCTCTCTGGCTGCAGTACTGAGACTAGATTGTGGGGATGAGGTTTCAAGGTTGGAAGTAGGGAGACCATTTAGGAGATGACTGTAACAATCCCGAGGGGACATGATGGAGCAGTGCAGGTGGTAGGAGTGGTCAGATTTTGTAGACAGAGTCAAAAGGATTTACTGATGGAATGAATATAGGGTATGGAAATAAAAAAGATCAAGAATGACTGAAAGATTTTGGCCTGAGCAATTGGAAGGATAAAATTGCTGTTTACTGAGATGGGGAAGACTATAAGAAAAGCTAATTTGGGTAGAGAAGTAGGGTTTCTATGATTATGAGGCTGATGATGCATTTAAGAGTTTGGATTTCAGTGGAAAGGTTTAGACTGGAGATATAAATTTGGGAGTCATCAGTCCTAAAGGAAGCTGGTAAGAGCAGCCAGTGAGTAGGAGGAGAGCCAAGAGAATGTCAAGCAAGGAAAAGGAAAGTGGTACAAAAACGATGGATGATCACCTTTGTTAAATGCTGCTAGGAGGTGAAAAATGAGGTTGAGAATTGACCACTGGAATTGGTAACATGGAGTTTATAACTGAACCTGAAAAGAACAATGTAGTGTGAGTTTTTACTTTTTAAATTAAGTCATGTCACATTAATGACTTATAATGAATTTGTAATCTACTAATATACCCAGATATTACTATGTGAGCTGTTGTCAAACTAGGTCTCTCTCTTTCTATATTTTTGTAGTTGATCTCTTTTTTCTTCCTATTACATTTCAGCTTATTAGTTTGTCTACGTTGTACCATATTATTGATTTATGTTGATATTTTTTGAAGTATGATTCTAATAAATTTTTTTTAACTACCCCTACTAGCTATGACATTTATAAACTTAGTAATCGTGCTTCTGTGTCTTTAGCCATTCATTAACTAAAATATTAAATAGGGTAGGGCCAAGTTTAGACTCCTGTAGTATACCATTAGAGGCCTTATTTTAGGGAAACATTAATTAGTTAATCAATACCTTAAGACCTAGTTATTCAAACAATTACACTTATACCTAATCTGTTACACTATAAGAGAATTATGAATGATTTTGTTAGATGCATTTATTAAAATCCTTATAATGTTATATATAGCATTCTTGTGATTTATTAGTGTAACAACTCTATGAGATAAGGCAGTGAGTTTTTCATATTAGATCATCGATGGGGATGTGAGGCTTGACTCTCTTTCAGTTGACTGTTGACTTAACAGTATCTTCAGTATTACCTTAAGACATTCAATGATAAGCTATGTTCATAAAGAACAAAGTGCTAGAATAAGCTTGGAATGCCCCTCCCCGCCGCC